TGTGTGTGTGTGTGTGTGTGTGTGTGTGTGTGTGTGTGTGTGTGTGTGTGTGTGTGTGTGCACTATTGATAATGAAAACGGTTAACAAATCATTTCTGTTTCAGGAACAAAGAAGCGAAATGCAAGAAATACTTGCTTGGCAAGGACCAAGCATTCTCACCTCGGTACTAGGGCAGCCTTGTACGACCAAGCTACGGCGGCAAAATCATCTCACTGCATGCATATATTTGCTCTCTCAAAATAAAGAACCTTTAACAGTGTATCTGCAACACCTAAGAAAAGTGGCTATGAACACACAGTTAATTGCTTGAAACTTGGGGTGACTACTATTTCACCGCTGACTCGTTAGTAATGTAGTCGACAACAATGCCATTTTCTTTCTTCATAATTGTGTTGACCAATGCTGCACTGTCTGGCCGTCATGGACTTTGTCAGTGCTATTAACAATGGTCTATTCTTCGCATGTAGTGCTTTCACACCTCTTTTTTAGCAGAAATTTCATTCCCCCTCAAACGTAACTCTCCACCCGAATGTGTCTTTTAACCGAATGAACGGAGAGGTCTTCACTCAGCTGATAAAATATATGGGAGTGCTGAAAAAACGTTTTATCATAACTTATTAAACAAACAAAAGGCAACATTTATTCGATCCTAATATTGGCATCTTCCGCTGATCCGAAGGCTTCAGCCGAATTCATACCTTGGAATGTAGCCGTATTTGTGTCGTTTTCCCATGGATTCGGTGTTGCTCCACCCCACGTAAGCGCTATTGTTCGGTGCATACTTCGAGTTGGTACACTGCAAATTATACTTCTCATAGCCCAAATGTCTTCATAAGCTCGGTTCCCGTCTTGCTGACGGCAAGCCGAAAATCGCATGAAACCAAAATTCACTGAGAAAAAGAGCTGAATAATTTTAATTATGTGTTACTAAAATTTCTGTGGTATTGTTCTTATAAACAGCTTAATTCAGCTAGCTATAGAGCGGCGCACGATAGATAGCAGCAAGCTGCAGTACCTCCTCAATTTTGTGCTGCGATTTTGGTGTAGAGTGAAATGTTATTACCAAGGTAAAGCAAGTCAGGAAGAACAACAACCAGCCAGATTATGTAGTAAAAATGAGAAGCAAAAAGTGGACAAAGCGATATCCACGCAATGCTAAAAGAACAAAGGAATATCCGCTGATGAGCTAGTATGATTTCAATAAAAGACTATTTATGGAACTATGTGAACGAATGGAACCCAAAAAATAGAGGATGAGGAAGTTGCCAGCTGCGCTAATGGCAAGAATAAGTGCAACGATGAAACAGTAACTAAAAAAAATATGAAAGTGATATCAACAAGCAATAAAAATTACAGTAAGAAAATCTTGAAGTATTATTTTCTCGGGTGAATTTGCTAAACACCCACGAAAATAGAGTTAGAATTATGTTGCTAACATTGTAATTGCGTTGAATGGCGTTAAAGTTTTACAAACTAACTTTGCTAGATGATGATCATTCAAAGCCCAACCGGAGCAATGCCGATTCAGGATTTCTTTCTGGAATTCTTCCGGCAATTTTTGAAATTCTTCCATTCGAACAAAATCCCCAGCTTTTTCCCTGAAGCTAAAAGTGAATCTTTTAAATTTTATTTAATAAACTTTTGACAGGCGTGGTACAACAAGCCGAGGCAATTATTCCCTCTACAAAATATTCATTGGTTTCAAATGTAAATTGATTTTGGTATAAAGCTATGAAACCAAATACGCCATCAATTTTTTCTAAGCAATCATCGAAAGAGGGAATGACCGACAAACATGTGATAACCGCTGATATTTACTGCTTCTCAGGTTACTTCAGTGTGCTCTCACTTCTTGAAAAAAGCGAGCCAGTAAGGTGAAGAGGGTTGATTTAATTGCTAGCATATCGGTTCTTTGGATTAAAGCTAACAATTCTAAGGTTTTAATTTTGCGCTAGAAAGGCATGGAATTTGATTTTAAGCTAAGCTTTGTAGCTAAGCTTTGTTTGACGATGTATTATGAAGATAATGTTTGCTACCTAAAGCTACAACATCTAATGTTTGCTAGCTAAAGCTACAACACCGAATAACAGTAACTGGCATTTACTGTATTATAGAGTGACCCTCTACGTTTGTTATTTATCAAATTAGAGTGCAGTAGCCAAGCAATATACCGTATTCATCATACTTTTTTTAGCTTTGTATCCCACTTCTATTTTCGCTCCGTCCGTTCCTTCTTTTGGCAGGAGCACAGGTGATAAATCCTCTGAGAATATTGGGACAGTTCAAGGGCGATGTTAGTTTCGAAAGTTGGCGCAGTGCAAGCAAAGGGACGACGGCAGCACAACGTTAATTCATATGGCAATAAATTTTCCTTCATTCCCAGATCTGAACAGTTGTTTCCAGGAATGTTTTCCTGTTGAAGCTATGTTTGCTTTATAGCTCCTTTAATCTACTGTAGCTAAGAAATGGAAATGGATAGGGATCTCAGTTGAAAAGCTGGATAAAAGTCCTTGACATCAGCTAAAGGAGCTACAAATTATTAAGGAAAGCTGTTCAAATCCATTTTGGCAATCGAAAAGAAAGCAGATTAATATTCTTGCCCCTGGATGTGCAGCTAATTGTTCAGTGTGAGTGTTTAACATGGTAACGCACACGAACTCAAAAACGTTGAATATGCGAAAGATTCTACCTTCCTTCAATACGTAAAAGATTCATTGTGTAGAGATTTGAATGTTGGTATTTATAGGCTAGTTCAAAGTGTTCAAGCATATCACTGAGCGATAATGCTGGTTTCAGAGATAACATCTGCAAAATTCAAAACGCCTTGAAATCAGTGTTTAAAAAACTTTCCATTAACATTACTAACATGTGATACCCTAACTTTACTTGGAAAATCCTGGGGTCTTGGCTTAAAACGGGTGCAGTCAAATTTTCTTTGCAAGCAGTTGTTCCAAGAGTGAAACTGGCTAGGTCTAGCAGTGTATGTATAACTGGTTACGATTTTGCTTTGTTCCATTAGCCCATTTCATTAGACTTGTTCTTTAGTTAGAGATATGTTGTTAGATTACATAGGCATTTTCTGGCTCTTCTAATCTTTATCCTTCGCCTTGGGCAAATCAGCTATAGCGAAACATATTAGTGATGTAGCTCTGAGCATTGTGCTACATGTTCTGAATATGTTTAATGTAAATGATATGAGATGCAGAATAAATCTAAACTTGCTGGAAGTCAGACTAAACAATTTGTTGAATTTGGTGCGGATTAAAGGATTATTAAAAGAACGCAAGGATACATCTCAACGTGGTGAAAAGATCTACTTGAGCAGCTGTTTGGAATTACAAAAATGTAAGGGATGCAAAATAAAAAATCTAGTGGCGAATTTGTCGGCTGCGTCGATAACGAAAAAAAAAATGCAACGATACGGCAATAACCATTCTCAGCTAACTGAAGAAATGACAATTTATATGCATATATAAGAAATGAAAAAAGAGGGGAGCAAAGCGAGCATATATTTTTATCTCCTGGATTTATTCAACTTGCTGTAGGACAGAACGGCCATACGCAGGCGGCCATCCGGCCATACGCAAGTTCTAGGTGCTTGTGCCCAATTTTAGGTTGAGAGAGTCGACATGGAATGGGAAAATGCCGTGGAAATTTCAATTACCTAGCTCTTCTAATTGCCGATTTAAAAATGGTTACAAAACCCGAGCACAAAAAAACACACATGTACATATAGTAACTCTTGACAATATGCATTTTATTGCATCAAATATACAAAAATAAATAAAAATTCGAACAAAACCAAAAGAAACCTCGCACAAACTATTCAGTAATCGTTTCATTCCGTTTACTTCTGCCAGAAGCATCATTGGCCGAATGAACGGGCCAGGAATGATTGTACCACCTGGATAAATGTGTCGCAACATAGTCAACACTAGATCCGTGCTACTGATTCCTACTGTCGCGCATTCCTCTTCTATTCTGGGAGTTATCCTCATCACGACACTTTCGTCTGCAAATAAACAGTTAGAATAATTGAGTCATCTGTGGCTTATAAGTTTAGTTCCTCAGCAATGCAGCTGGTCAATTTTAGCTGGTCAGCAATGTGAAATTTTTACAAGTGCTGCATCTCTTGGTAATTAGAGTGCTGTTCTTCCTGATGTCCGAAATGCTTTCTGGAAGAATTACCAGCATATTGCAAGGCTGGTATATGTGGCCAGGAAGAGGCAAATTACTAGCTACTAATTTATCCCCGACGTGGAATAAAAATCCACTTTCTCAATAAAAATCCGGGTTTTCTGTCAAGGGGTTTCCCAACTTAAATATCATCTACGACGGTAACACTGGATTCTTTCCTCACAGAGGCAATTTTAAAGCGCATATTGAAAAACTTTTTGGCGATAATTATTTAAGAAATCTATTGCAAAATTGTCCTGCGTAAGAGGGAAGCGACCCAACGATTCACGGCCTGTATGCCTCACTACCATACCTTCGTTAAATCATGCTAGCTGTGCGTCCAATTAGATCGGCTTTGCATTATTGTATATACCAGTTCAGATGATTCTTGTGATCCGTTCTCACGCTCACTCACAGTTGCGTGATTAAATAAACTGCCTGTTCTGACAGAAACCCGTCTCTCATAGGAGGACCATTCGATTCACCGACACACCCACAAGCGGCACCAAAACTCATCGATTAAATATACAAAACAGATGGCAGACGCCAACTATAGTTTAGGTGTTTTAACAGAAAGGTCCTATTTAAGTGTATTTACTGGCCTCTGAGCCTTGCGAAATTCTTTCGAGCCGAGAGACAGGATAAACCCCGACACACACCACTGGATATCAAGGTGACTAAAGCTTTGCAAAAAATGCTTCTATCGAGACAGCTACTGATCCGGTAAATTCTTCAGAAGATGACCGAAAAAAAACGTCAGAATCACCAGACAACTAAACAACAGGCGATTCTTTAAAAAAAAAGGTAAGTAGCATGACTGTCGGCTAAACCATTGATAAAACAGTGTTTCTTTCAAGCACTAAGAAAGTATTAAGTATCGTTCGCCATATTCTTGATTCTGATTCAAATTTTTTTTTGTTTTTTGGTAATTCAGAAATTTCTTTTTAAGAAAATCCTAAAGGCTACATGAAAAAAGCACTAGTCTTAGTCGCGGATTCTGTGCATAAAGGTAAAAATTAATTTGCGAAGTCTGAATTAATTACCTCCATCTTCCTCCGAAAAAACATGGATGTTGTGCAGTGCCAGTATCCCTCTGTTAACATGCAGTGTCGTGTTCGGCAACAACAGCTCTACAGTATATGGCCACTGTGGCATATTAAAATGATTCTGCAGGCAGAACGAGTGCATGGTTGTCCTTAATGGATCCTGCCGAGCCTGTAACCGTTAATCAATAACTGGCCAACGCACGGGCTGCCTGGGCGAAGATGCGTTTTTTGCATAGTTCCCCGCAGTTTTTGTCGCTACCGCACGGATTTTTTCTGCAAATGCTTCTAGCTGAACAAGTTAAGACTGGCCGCCACAACTGGCAGGAAACAACCCCATAAAATTTCAGCTTTCTAGCTTTCCTGGCTCCTAAGTTATCACCTACTTGGACGGGGAACATTCCCTAAGATTTGAGTGTTCTAGCTTTCCAAATCCCTGAGTTATGAACTTACCCCAAAAAAACTTTGACGGACCCGTACGCGGGTACCACGCAGGTATTGGCGCCCATTTTGGTGATTGGGGCCCGTACGCGCATGTAGATTAAGTTACCGAAATTTCAGCCCTGCAGCTTTTATAGGTCTTGAAATGAAAGTGCGTGGCAGACGCACACACTGACACACAGAAGCACAGACACACAGACAAACGGACACACAGACAACCCCTCGTCAATATGCGTTTTTGCATTGCATAGCTGCAAAAAACACATAA